CAAGGGCGTCATGTTGACACAGGGATTTCTGCCGGCAAAAGGTGTCAGAGGCAGAGTCTTCCCTCCCTCCCTCACCGTTTCCTTGGTTAAACTCTGCAGCGACAGAAATCCCGGCATACAGATCCCGGGAGCAGATACCCGTCTACTCGGAGGTGCCTTACATCCCTCAGGCCATGGTTTCCAAGGGGGCGAGGTTTTTGTTGCTAATAACTATTTTTGGGAGCTTTGCTTCGCTTGCAAAGAGAAACCAGCAGCTTCATGGCTGTGAGGTTGGGGGGACCCGGACCCATCACTGTCTGGCTGTTGCCATCTTTGCCCACTCACCATCTCACCGAAACAGCCCCCGTGCAAATTGCTCTGGCTTTCGATAGGGTTTGTGCCGCAGGGGCACCCATGTGCTCTGCAAAACCCCCCTCTCCTCCTGTTTATAAATATCGGAGCTAAATATAGCTTGTTTAAACTCTCGGTGGCTGTTCAGATCCTAATCTCAGGTTTTATGTTCAGGATTAGAAGAGTGGGATAGTGGGGTCACGCGTGTCCCGGGTGGGACTTTTCCATATTTGGCTCTCAGGCAGCGTGGTGTTCAGCCAAAACTTGGTTTGAGGGGGAAAAGGAAAAAAAATAAGGGAGTTCATCATTGCTTAGTGAGACGGTGACACCGGCACTGCATGCGTGCCAGAGCTCCCGGGAGCAAGGCAACATGAATTCACCCTGCACAGGCAGCAATTGTGGGCAGCGCTTGTGTCCAGAGCAGGTGAAAATGGGCATTTACCCCGAAAGGGATGGGGAAGGGAGAGTAGCCTCAGGCACCAGCAGTGCTGGCCTGGCGGGTGGCCTGGGGAGGTGGAAATTCCTCATCTCCCCCAGATTCCGACTTTTCCTTCTGCTGGCTTAAAGAATAAAACATTTTTAAAGGGAAAATGTTTACAAATGAAAAATCAAAACAGGGAGCAGTTGCAGCGGGTGCTCTCGGGTGCCACAGCTGCTGGGTAGCACCGTGGAGGAAAAGAAGAGCCAGGCAACTTAACGGCGTCTAACAGGCACGCCAGTCACCGGTGCGGGCACTTGCTTGAGGACCTGCCCCAGGACACTCGCCCCTGCCCTGCGGGGGGGCGGTGGGACCATTTGCTGGCCTCAGCCCAGGTTGTGTTCCCTGAGGATCCCCCGCTGGAAGCGCATCCTTCCTGGTCACCCCATAAATGGGCTCCTCCAAGAGAAGAAGCAGGGACCGGGATGAGCGGGGAGAGCAGAGCTCAGCGCAGGGCAGCCCGCTCGCACCAACAGTGGGGCTGTGCGGATTTACACCCGCAGAGGATATAAAAAACATCAACTGGGGAAAAAAAATATAGCAGCCATTGTTGAGGTTGGGAACCAGGCGAGTTTTGTCTTGGTCTCTTCCTTTGACATCTTTCATGTTTATTGTGAATGAAGCTCCATTGAAAGGCAGCTCCTTCCCAGGTAGCCGGTTACCACCCGGTGAATAGCCTGACCACTTTGCTTAGTAATGGGATTATATTGTTTTTCATTACAATGGGAACTTTGATTCCCAAACTGTCCTGACTAATGTCTGCTTAAGAAACAAAGCCTTTTTTTTTTTTTTTCCCCTCTCCCCTTCACGCTGGTAGGAGGAACAGGGCTCTAGCACGTTTTTTCCCCACTCCTGTCCATGAGTATATCCAGCTTTGGGAATTCCTTTAGTTTCTCTCCAGATGAAAGTCTGGGTCTTAAAATCTCAATTAGATGGCTTGGGCTAGGTCAAAAATGAAATGGAACAAAAAAAACACATCAAAGACTTCAGATTACAGTTTGCTTTTTTTTAATTAAACAAGACTGGAGATCTGCTCTTGCTTTATTAACCTGATGTCACTCGAAGTAACCTGCTGCTTTGCCAACCACCCTCCCTGTGTGAAACTCTGTTTTTTTCCCAGGCTGGTGTCCCAGAGTTTTTAATAAAGCAGGGCCTGGATGGAACTTCATAAAAAAACCACCGTTTTGGTCTAGCACTGGGTTTTGGTGCTGGGAGCCGTGTTGTGGCTGCCAGAGGTGTTTGTGGGGCCATGCCGGCGCCAGGGGAGCGCGGCAGGGCCAGTGGGAGCTTTGGGGTGCATCGCCCCGTCGGGGTGCCCCATGTGGGTGAGGGGGAGCTGGGTAGCTCTGCCTTCTCTGCTTTGGCTCTCCTGGGAGCTGTGGTGAAGCCTTTGGTTTCTTAACGGATGCGTGTGCCAGAAACCACAGAGCGAAGCAGCAGGTGAGGCGCGGTGAGCCCGGCCGTGCCTGCTGCCGGGAGGGGGCTCAAGCAGCCCCCGCCAGCCCCTGGCTGCCATGGCAGGAGGGAACATCCATGGCCCCACATGCCCCAGGAAGCTCAGGGCAGCGTCCAAAAGTGTTCCTCGTCTCCCTGCACCCATCTTCCTTCTGCCGGCTCCAGGGGTGCTGTGCCACCCCGAGGAGGGTGGCGATGCCAGGGCAGGAGCTGAGCAGGAGATGGGACCAGAGCACAGGGTGCTGAGCTCTGCTTTCCCAGCGGGACCGTTTTCCAGGCCTGTCTGCCTTCCCCTGGCTCCAGAGTGTGCTCCCGCGCTCGGTGGGGTGTTTCCGAGGCAGGCTGACGCCGCTGGGAAGCCATCCCGTAGACAGTCATACACACCTGCGGTCCCTGATGATGTTCCGTGCAGGAACACGGGAGGGGCTCGTGGGGAGGCAATGGAATAAGAATGAATGGAATAAGATGGAATGGGAAGATGCAGTAAGAAGCGGATCTCTTTTCTCAGTGACACTGGCCCTTTCTCTGGTTGGATTGGAGCTGGGGGAGATCAGGGTCCCCCGGGCTGGCACCGAGCATACCTGTCTTAGGGGGAAGGGTGTAACTTCAGGAGAAAGCTGGGGTGTTGCTTCCAGGCTGTGCCAGGTGGGAAGCCACTGGCACAACTGGAAAAGTGACTCTCGTGCGTGGATGCCTGATGGAAAGCAAGCTTAACGCCCAGGGTCTGCAGCTGCTGGGGTTGCGCAGGGGAAGGTGTGAAAGCAGGCAGTTGTGGTTCCCGTTTGTAAGCCCGAGGATGACGGTTACCCCGAGAGGTTTGGGGACGATGGGGTAGGGTCGTGTCACCGCGCTGCGGCTAGGAGCAGCGTGCAGTGGCTGTGGTCCTGTGTGTAGTTAACAGAGACTCTCCTGCTGGTTATTTCTCCTTCCCTCAGCTGTAGCCAGCAAACACGTGAAATCCGAGTGTCCTGCTCACGTTTGGCTACTTGCTTCGCTCCGCGGGGTCCGGACCGCGCTGGCATAGGCATCCACTTGGTCACGCAGTGTGTTTGCTGGTGCAGAGGGCTCTGCGGGTGTGATGGTCCCTCGGTGCGCATCCTCTGCACCACGCAAGGTCACGGTCGTGGTTTCTGAACCACCTCTGCGCTGGGGTGGCTCTGCCGGGGACTCTGGGGGGCAGGGAG